GAATAGGTCCGCCCCCCCCGAGGGGGCAGATGTTGGCTCTGACTTTCATCTTGAATAAAGATATTCATCTTGAGTAAAGATAGGAGGAAGGAACACCAGCAATCTAAGCTATGCAAATGACACCATACTACTAGCAGAAAACATCACAGGCTTGGAACAATTACTAAGGAAGGTCAAGGCAGAAAGTGTAAAGGCAGGCTTAATGCTGAACATAAAATAATAACAATGACCACGAAGGAACTACATACGTTCAACCAAGACAATGAGGAAATAGAAATAGTAAAAGAGTTGCCGTACTTTGGATCAAACATTGGTCAAAGCAAAGGCTGCAGCCAAGAAATCAGAAGAAGATTAGGAATGGGAAGGGCAGCTATGAAAGAACTAGACAAAATCTTAAAGAGTAAAGATATACAATGAACCATTGTCCAAGCCATAGTATTCCCCATCAGCATGTACTGATGTGAGAGCTGGATAGTGAAGAAATCCAACAGAAAGAAAATGAACTCATTCAAGATGTGGTGCTGAAGAAGAATGCTGGAGATATCTTGGAGAGCCAAAAAGACAAACAAATGGCTTCTTCAGCAGATCAAGCCTGAAATCTCCCTGGAAGCCAAGATGATGAAACTGAAGCTGTTGTACTTTGGACACATCATGAGAAGGGAGGACTCATGGAAAAAACAATAATGCTTGGAAAGGTGGAGGAAAACAGAATGAGAGGAAGACCGCATGCTAGGTGGATGGACTCTATTAAGGAGGTCGTCATGGGTATGAATTTGCAGAACCTGAGCAGATCAGTGGAGGACAGGACTTGGAGATGTCTCATTTACAAGTCAGTTAACAGCAAATGATAACTAGCATACCCAACTCTCTTGCATTCATGATTCTATGACTACAAGGGCCAAAAATGAGAGGAATCACAGAATCGTTAGAATTGGAGGGGACCCCAAGGGGCATCTAGTTCAGCTCCCTTTTGGCTGCTCAGGAGTCCACCATGAAAGCATCCCTGAGAGGCAGCCATCCAACCTCTGTTTGAAAGCCTCCCAAGAAGGAGAGTCTGCCATCTTCTGAGGGAGTCCATCCTACAGTTGAACAACTCTTTCCATCTGGAAGCTCTTCTTAAAGTTTAGTCAGAATTTCCGTTCTTGTAATTTGAACCCATCAGTTCAGGTCCTGCTACCTGGACATCTCTTCATTTCTGTTTCCTTCTCTGAGGAAATAGTAGTTGGGAAGTACATGTAGTCAGACTGTGTTTGTGAGTTGGGCAGTAAGTGATTGATCAGGGACTGTGCACTGAAGATAAAAGGTTCCTAGCTTGAAACCCAACTTTCCCACTCTGCAGAAGTAATGCAATTTGACATCACTTTGTCATGGCTCCATCCTGTGGAATCCTGGGATTTGTAGTTTGTTGTGGTACCCAAGCTCTCTGGCAGCAATGGCTAAATGCCTCACAAAATTACAAATCCCAGGATTCCATAGCATGGAGCCATAACAGTTCAAGTGGTGTCAAGCTGCATTGTTTTTGCAGTGTTGATGCAGCCTTTGTCTCAGTCCTGTACACTATTTGAAGTAGGGCATCTTTCATGGAAAACAAAACGATGGCCAACAGATTGGAAGCGATCAATATACATCCCCATCCACAAAAAAGGAGACACAACTGACTGCAGCAACTAAAGAACCATAGCACTAACCTCCCATGCAAGCAAAATCATGCTCAAAATTCTGCAACATAGACTGCAACTATACATGAAGAGAGAAATCCCAAAGATTCAAGTGGGGTTCAGGAAAGGAAGAGGCACCAGGGATCACATTGCAAATATATGATGGCTAATGGAGCACACCAGGCAGTTCAAAATAAATAAAAAAAAATCAGCATGTGCTTTATAGATTATAGCAAAGCCTTTGACTGCATAGTCATGAAAGGCTATGGAACATCCTTAAAGACATGGGAGTGCCAACACATCTGATAGTCCTGATCAGGAATCTGTACTCAGGACAAGAGGCTACTCTCAGGACAGAAAACAGAGAAACAGAATGGTTCCCAATTGGCAAAGGAGTCAGACAAGGCTGCATCCTTTCACCCTACCTATTCAAATTATATGCAGAACATATTGTAAAGAAAACAGGCTTGGACACGGAAGAAGGAGGAGTGAAAATAGGAGGAAGAAATATCAACAATCTAAGATATTCAGATGACACTGTAATACTAACAGAGAACCTCACAGGCCTGGAACAACTACTAAGGAAGATCCAACAAGAAAGGGCAAAGGTAGGCTTACTGTTGGACATAAAAAAACACAACCAAAAGTAATGACCACTGAGGACCTTCACAAGTTCAACCTAGACAACGAAGAAATAGAAATAATAAAAGAATTCCCATTCCTGGAATCAAACATTGATAGGAATGGGGACTGCAGCCATGAAATCAGAAGAAGACTAAGAATGGAGAGGATGACTATGAAAGAACTAGAAAAGATCCTAAAATGCAAAGATATACAACTCAGCACAAAAGTCAGAATCATATAAGCCATCGTATTTACTATTACCAAGTACAGATGTGAGAGCTGGACAATCAAGAAAGAAGATGGGAAGAAAATCAATGCATCTGAGAGAATGTGGGGCTGGAGAAGAGTGCTGAGGATCCCATGGAGAGCCAAAAGGACCAACAAATGGGTCTTAGAACAGATCAAGCCAGAGATATCCCTAAAAGCCAAGATGACAAGACTTAGACTGTCGAACTTTGGACACATCATGAGAAGGCACAAATCATTGGAAAAGACAATAATGCTAGGAAAGTTGGAGGGAAGTAGGAAGAGAGGAAGGCCACTTGCTAGATGGATGGACTCTATTAAAGAGACCATGAATATGAGTTTGCAGGAGCTGGGCAGAGCAATAGAGGACAGCGGGGCCTGGAGACGTCTCATCCATAGGGTCACTGCCATGGGTTGAGATCGATGTGGAGGCAGTTAACAACAACAACACAAATCTTTCATGAGTGCTTTAGTGATGTGTTCCATTATGACAGAGAATTGGACCAGGTGATCCTTCCAACTCTTAGAATCCAGGGGGAATATTATTCTTATTTTACAAGATGTCGTAAGGATCGCAGCAAGATGGCACATATAAAGTACTTTCAAGCCCATTGAAAGTGATTAGGTGCAAAGATCCAAGGTTGCAGGTAGGGGACTGGACGGGAGATGGCGGTGTTGTACTTCATTTTATTCATTCATTTTCATTTATTGAAAATATTTGAGAATTGCACTTCATCAAAAAGACTGCAAGGTATTTAAGAACAAATTAAAACAATAAAACACCACCAATAAAGAGGCAAACAAATTATGAGGTTGTTGTTCTGTGCCTTCAAGCTGACTCTGACAGATGGCAACCCTACCATACAGTTTTCTAGGCAAGCTTTATTCAGAAGATGTTTGCCATGGCCTTCCTTTGAGGCTGAGAGAGGGTGACTTGCCCAAGATCTCTCAGCTACTTGTTCCTGAGAGACAGTGTGGCATAGTGGTTTGAGTGCCGGACTACGACTGAACAGGGATTTGAACCCTGGTCTCTTGAAGTTCTAATCCAACATTCAAACCAATGCACTGTGTTGGCTCCCAAATACATTCTTCTGGGCCTCAATTTTTCTTTTCATAGGTGATAAGCCACTAAAATATTACTATAAAAATTACTATACATGGTGCTTTTGGATGAATAGACGGTTCCTAACTTTTGTATTATTATTTATTCTGTTTTTATTTTGGAGCATATTGTTTTAATTTATAATTAGTTTAATACTGTTTTAAGGGGTGGGAGGGTTGGATGGGCATGTGAATGTTTTTAACTTGTGTATTTTAATTGATGTAACCCGCCCCGATTGCTCCGCAGAGGGGCGGGCTATAAATAAAATTTATTATTATTATTATTATTATTATTATTATTATTATTATTATTATTATTAGGCTTACTGCAGAAATGTAAGTAATGTAAATGCCTTTCCTCACCTTTTCTCCTCTAACCCTACTATTTGTTTATTTTCAGGAAAAAAAATCCTATAAGGGTTAGAGGGGGAGGCCAGCAAACATCACTGAAGTGACATTGTCTTTGTGTTTGTTCCAGAACGGCCGTGATCGTTCTGAAGAAAGGCATCCTCTGCTTTGACTATTCCCCCGAACTGAATATCCTTGGTATGTTTGCTAGAAAATCCTGAAAAGTAAAGTAGCAGTTTACAGCCGGAGATAATATTCATCTTTTGGGCAAGGTGGTCAAGCAGTAATGGGGGTGCACCTACTAGATACTCTTGGATGCTGGTTGTCTGGC